TAGCATTAGAAATGAAATTATAATCTTGTTGATATTTTTATATTAAAATGATGAAATGATGAGAGAAATAAACAGATTAATTTATTATATATAATATTTAAATTCATCAGCAATTACTAAAATTTTTATTTTGTCTCAATAGATTTTTTAATGTCACTTTAAGCCATAAACTATGCTAAACCAGATATCAATTCATTATATGCTCTGATAGAATTAATAGTCCAAAATTATCTAATTGAAACCTTAATCAATTAGATGGATTTCTTATCTTTCATGAGGTTTAATTAAAAGATAATTGTTAGGATTTCTATATTTAATAGTATGAATTCATTTGGAACAAATTATTGATATTTTATAACATTACTACTTGTCATTATAATTGGAATACTGGGCAACTATTTTATATCAATATTTGAGAAAAAATTTGAATCATAATAAAAGATAGAACCCATCTAATTAGATAATTTAAATCCTATTATCCCAAATATTGGATTTTTAGAAATTCTGAATTATTCATCAACTCAAAATACTGTTTCAAAAGTATTGATCATCATTTGGCAATTATGCCAGGAATAGAAGATGTCAAACTGTGTTACTTAAGAATATGCAAATTTTTATAGAATTCTTAATTATTTGTTTTTAAGTATGAATCAAATAAATAAGGTTAGTATTATTATTTCAGACTTTATAAATTTTAAAACAGAATGAATATATAGAGAGATTCTAAATTAATATTGCATAATGAAAGAATCATATACAATATCAATAACTGTTCAAATGGATTCTACGATTCAAATTTTAAATTAAATATTGAAGATATTAATATTGAAATCAAATGGTTTAGTCAGATGGTTGTTGCTGGTTTTGTGTTTTTTTATAAAATGGCAATTATTAATTACTTTTACACCAGATAAAAATATTTTCATAAGATTATTGATGAAAACACACAAATGATCACTCTAATTTCGTCAAAGAAATTAAATTTTAGAAATCTTATATGAAGGAATTTTATGAGTAGAATAAAGTATTTGATAATCAGATTACAAATAATATAAGAATTTTTCTAATAAACCAAAAGAGATAAGACTAGTGAGAGGAAAATTATACAGATTCAGTGCGGATGATCAGAAGGATATAGTAGAATCTGCAGAAGAAACAGTTGATACAGCAGAAAAAGAATGTCGAGACCAATAACCACCCGTTGTTCAAGAAGGATCAACTTAACCAGAAGAAGGAGAAGTTAAATCTGATGAAAAATAACCAGAAAAAAATCCTGATACTGAATGCAATTGTAAAAGAGGAAGCAAATATTTAAGCAGAATAAGATACGGAGGAATAAATATAAACTCCTGAAGAAGGAAG